TGCATTTCTACACTAAAACAGTAGCATGGTAAGTTTTTAAAGGGTTGTAGTCCCGAAACAATGGCATTACTGTCATGTAGAATGATCATTGTGTTGGAAAATAATCATGTTTAGCTTAAGTAGTGTCAGCATGAATACTGGGCAAATACAAATCCTTGTTGATGTTTGTACTGAAGTGCTATTGCTGTTTAGACCATGCTCAATTAAGCTTTAGGACACATTCAGTCGTTTCAACAGACCTGCATGGGCTGTTTCTATTTGATCATCCACCTGTGCAATGAGTTTTATATAGAAATATTTAGCATACAGTAGTATCTGCCGTTTCGTGAGTGCTGCATGCCATTTTTATTAAAGAGACTGTAGTTATTCATTTTCACTAAACCATCTGACATGCAGCCTTCTTCAGGACCCCAAACACAGCTGAACAGGCCTTGGCAGTGTACTTTGGGTGGTTATCATTAATAACATAAAATTAGATCATGATTCTGATTATTTTACAGGACCTCCCAGAATTTTAAGCAACAGAATGGATAGTTTTCAAAGACAAATGGAATCTGCAAATGTGTTGTTCTCAAAAATGGTTGCTACTCTGTTTGTGGAAAGCAGTAATCAAACTTTTATTGTCATGAATTTGTGTCAATCAGGTGACTGCTGGTTGCTGGCTGCCATAGCCTCCCTTACCCTTACCGAGCAGACGCTAGCGAGGGTGGTTCCTCCTGACCAAGATTTTGATCAGAACTATGCTGGGATATTCCACTTCCAGGTGCAGTAGATCCGATTGTGAACATGTCTCGGTCGCGCGGTTGTTGAATTCCGAGACGCTCATAATGTGAAGTAACGCCGGCTTCCTTCTGTCTAGTTCTGGAAGCACAATGAGTGGATCGACGTCGTCGTCGACGACAGGCTGCCCGCAGTCAGGAACCGGCTGGTTTTTCTGCACTCGGCGGACAACAACGAGTTCTGGAGCGCTCTGCTGGAGAAGGCCTACGCCAAGTACGAGTCTTCGTCGTCGCCAGAGGGCTTGGGGGACTGACTCCCCAAGGCCTCGGAACCAAAGCGCAACTCCTGTCGTTCAGCCTAGACCTCAGGCCTGAGAGCTCCAGCTGTTCGTCTCTCTGCGGCAGGAAAGGAAAGAACTCGTGGCGGACTAGCGCCAGAGTTTCCTAGCAGTGCTTGAGGAAGTGCAGAAATGTCAAATGTTGTGAAAGTGACACGACAACAACAACAACAGAAAAGCCAGAGTATTCAACTAATTAGATGGAATATATGATTTTGTATAACCTTTCATTTGAATTGGCGTCCAGGTTGTATGGGAGCTACGAGGCCCTGAAGGGAGGCAGCACGGTCGAAGCTATGGAGGATTTCACCGGGGGGGTGGGAGAGATGTACGACACCAAAAAAGCCCCCGACAACCTCTATCAGATCATCCAGAAGGCTCT